TTCCCACTATACCCTGAGGCATAGGTCCATAGACTCCACTAGGAATAGTTTGGGGCCCCATTTCAGGAGTTAATAAGAATCTGGACGAGGGACTGAGATACAATCCTCCACTTTCAGTTTTGTTCACCAGAGGTCAGAAAAGCTTGTGGCAGGGGAGGGAAAAGTGCCCCCATTATTTGATAGGGCCAAAGCAGGCTCCAGTGGAAGTTTCTCTGAATGGGTTGGCCTTTCACATCAGTTTTAGATCTATATTCGCTTTTCCAATGGTACCCCCGTCTACATCTTGTACATACACTGGAATGTTTTATTGAAGAGACAGATAATGGCTGTGCTGCCAAATTAAAGAGAGGCCTCACCTTTTGAAGGATGCTCCCTCCAAGCCCTAGTGACAGCTATCTTAGTTTGGTCCTATATTTGCAATGCAAAAGCCAGCTGAGGGGCCAGGGAGATGGCTCAGTGGAATAAGCCACTTGCCAGGCAAGTGCTTATTCCACTGAGATCAATCCCTGGTTCCACCAAAAAAAAAAAAAAAAAAAAAAAAGAAAAGAAAAAAAGCCAGTTGATTGTTTCTGCTAGCAAAAGCACCCTTTCCAATTAGTGTATCTTTTGTACTGGCTGTGTTGTAAACTGCATTGAACTGTCTGTTCTATGCAATCTTCAAAGAAATTTTCTTTCCACAATAAATAATCTCCTGGATTCAAACACACTATGGCTTTTCTTTTCCAATCATTTGTGGCTGTAATTTTTTGTCCTAGCATTTCTGCTAAACTCAAGGTAAAGGGAGCAGTAGGGCCATAAGTAGCAACAGCTTGTGTTAATTCTTTTAAGGTTTTGAAAGGTACAGCTTCATGAAGATGTACAACTTGTCCTGGATTTTTAGGGATTTGAACCTCAGAAACAGGATACACATGTTGAAAACCCTCCCTGGACTCCCTGCTCATTTTGCATCTTTTAGTTCCTACTGCAAGGAAGATTAAGAAAATGGCTCTACTCCCCTAGAAGTGGAAGTTCCTATTTGTGACTCAACAATATTCCTCTGAGCTGACATGGCCAGGATTGTGTTCTGTGGCTCCACAAAAACAAAAGAGTGTTGAAAAATGAAATTTTTTGGGCAACACTTCTCTAGTGGGGAAGGATCCCTTTTGTCCCCCATTGCTCCTTCCTTATTTGATGGAGCAAGGCTAGAAGGTTCAAGGTCTATCTTTAGGGTATCATTGCTCCCTCTGTCTTGTCCTGCTCCGAATCAGAACTTGATTTTAAAGGAAAGCTGTGAGCTAAATGCTTTGTGTTCAAAAAACCCCATCAAATCACAATTCAGAAAACAAAAGTAAATACAGGGATCAAGCATGCCACAACCACTTCAACATACATATATCGGTGTGATTCTTAAGACTCTTATTTGTCCCATTTTTAATACAGTGTAACCTTTTCCTGTTGGTCTTCTCTCAAACCTATTTCTCTAAGAATGTTCATCTCTCTGGCCCTAAAGAGCCTCCATCCCCATGTTTAACACCTGATGTGCCAGTACTAGGGCACGCCTGTGCTGAATACTGGCTCTAACCAGTTCACTTCCCTCCCTTATGCACGCTTTTTAGAAGTGTTCCTGCTGCCTACACTTATCTTGTACCTGGTGTCCTGCTCGGGCACCAAGTGTAGGGATCTGTTGGTCTCTCAGTGTGATCTCTTGTACCTGGTGAGAAAAGGTGTGAGGAAAAGATAGGAAGGCAAGAGCTGGGTCAAGTGGCGGCCTGTCTGCCTATTGGCAAGACAACCCCCAGCATCACAGTAGGGGTGTTTTGCAAAGTTAGCATCCTGTGACACAAGGTTGCCTAGTGACTAATAGCCGACATTAACTAGTCAGGATACTTACTTCAGGACTGAGGTAGCTTGACTGCTTTAGGCACTGAGGCCTACTCCCTCCTTCACACATTTGACCAATTTCCAGCTTCCATGGCTCCCAACAGAATCTACCTCTGCTTTTTTTTTTTTTTCCCCCTAAGGACATTTGTGATGATGTTTAGGACTCATTCAAATAAATCGAGCCATTTTCCCCACTTCATCATCCTTCATAAGTTAATCATTTCTGCAAGATCCTTATTTCCTTTTTCAAGGTAATGAGGTTAAACCTAGGGCTTTTGCACTAACTGAGCTATATCAGTTGCTGTTACTTAATTTTTTTTTTCTTTCTTATTTTGAGAAGGATCTCATTCCAGTCTCCAAGGTACCCAGGATGGATTCCAAACTCTGATTTTTTTTTCTCATCCTGCCAGAGTACTGGGGTCACAGGCATGTATCACCACCATGACCAGTTTAAGATGCTAGGGCTGGGGAGATAGCTTGGCAGCCTAAATGCCTCCCTGGCAAGCACAAGGACCCAGGTTTTTGTTTTTTTTTTAATTTTATTTATTTTGTGTGTGTGTGTGTGGCCAGCTCAGCCCACCAGGGGGCGGGGCTGGCTGGCATGTGGTGCTGGGGGATTGAACCGTGGTCCCTGTGCTTTGCTAAGCTTGTTCTAAGTAGATGCTTTAGACCACTGAGCCATCTCACCAGCCCCAGGACCCAGGTTTGATCCCCAGTACTGTAAGTACAAGCTGCACAGTGAGACCCTGTACCAAATAAATAAATAAATAAATAAATAAATACAAAGGTTTTTTTTAAAAACAAGAGAGTTCAGCTTAAAAAAAGATAAGATCCTGTTTGTATGTAAGGTGACTGTTGGTGAGCTTTCCCGTTGCTCATACAAAATAATTTAACCCACAATTTAAAGGAAGAGAGGTTTATGTTTTGCTGTTGGTCACAGATGTGTCAATTTGTATTCAGCTGGCTCCAGAACAAAAATGCCATAGCAGGAGAGCATAGAAGAAAGCTGCTCAAGTCATAGCAATCAGGAAGGACAGAGCAAAGGAAGTCCAGAGAGGAAAGGGTCTGATAGCAGAGGTAGGTATAGTTCTAAGGTCACATAGCCGTAAAGCACTTCCCTTCCCTGAGAAAGACTGCCAGCTTCCTTTTAGCCCATTCAAGTATGAACTCATCCAGAGGTTAGCCTGTTGATGAAGTTAGTGTCCTCATGATCCAGTAACCTCTTTGGCAGTTTATTCATCCAGTCAAGTTGAGAATCAGGATTAACCAGCATAGTAGCACTTAATAGGTTAAAGGGATTAAGAGCTGACACGTTTAGAGGCATTATTCAGCATAACACCCACAGAGTGATTACAAAAAAGAATCTTCCATGGAGCATAAAAATTTAAAGATCACATATGGGAAGAATCATGAAAATTTTACAAGTGATTGAAAATATTTTTGGACAGTGTTCTTCACTGTAAGATATTCACGAATATCCTATGTATTCAATGTAGGAAAAAGGATTCAACTTGAGACCGTAATATTAAGTGAAATAAATGAGATACAAAGTGTAGCTATCACATAGTTTCTCATATATGAGAAACTCAAAGTAGAAATACAGAAAAAAAATATAGGTGATAGGAAGTATGGAGACCAATCTTTCCTAGAGGGAAAGGAGATTCAGAGGTGGAGGGCAAGGCAGGGTGTGGTGGCAGACGCCTCTAATGCTGTCATTCATGAGGCTGAGGCAGGAGGATTGCTATGAGTTCAGGCCAGCTTTGGCTACATACTGAGTTCAAGGGTAGCCTGAACTACACAGCGAGACCCTGTCTCAAACAAGAAAGAAGGAGAGAGACAGAGACAGAAAGAGAGGGAAAGTAATGGAGGAAAAGAAAAAGGTGTCATGGAGAAGGGATGAGAAAAGGGATTAAGCTGTGTGACATACGCACACAAATGGAAAAGGAAAATTGTGGACTAATAAAATAACTGTAAACTCAGGTGGTAATATTCCTTGTAGATAAAAATTACCCTACAGGGCTTCAGAGATAGCTCAGTGGTCTAAGCACCTGCATAGGCAAGTGCAAGGACTTGGGTTCGATCCTCAGTACCACATGCCATGCTGACCCCACCCCAGACACCTGAGCACTCCACTAAAACTGGTGGTGGTGGCACACATCTGTAATCCCAGCACTGAGGAGGCTGAAAACAAGAGGATCATTACCAGTCTGAGCTAAGTAGTGAATCCATGTACAAATACATTTAAAAATATATATAATCTAGGGCTGGCCAAATAGCTCAGCAGGTTAAAGCACCTGCCTAGGCAGACCCAGCAGCTGGATTTGATCTCCAGTGTATAGTGTCGGCCCTGCCCCCCCGGCATGCTGAGTTGGCAACTGAGGCTGGGCATGGTGGCACATGCCTGTAATCTCAGCTCTTTGAGAGGCTAAACACAGGTGGATCCCTACGGAGTCCATTCTACATAGTGAGACCCTGTAGACCCTTAGTAAAAAGTTAAAAAAAAATCTTACAGAAAAAATTAAATGCTTTTAAGAGATCAAAATCATTCATATAGTTACAGTTTTATAAAAACACCTATGTGTGTTTATCTGTGTCCATTGAAGCATATTTCAAAGTTGTATTTTTTAAGAATCTCATTAAAGAGATAAACTTTTTAAACATTTTCTGCTTTGCAATACTGTTTGTATTTTTTATATTTTAGTTTAAGTATATTTTCTTTATATGTAGAAAAGTATTTTACTTTCATAGCAGCTTTGTTAGAAGAAACGGCACTTGAGACATAGTCTTTAAGTAGCTAATCTTTTGATAAATTAGAGGTAAGGGAAAGAACCAAGGGATGTAAAAGACGGTAAAAACATGGTGCGTGGTGACACATAACCTTAGTACATAGCAAGCCTTGGAATACCACCTTTTAGAGATCTGTGTACTTTAAAGTCTCACTAGTGTATGTAATTCATTTGGGAAAGACCTTTAGAATATAAAGTGTCAGACATAGCTGAAATTGTGTGAACATTCTTAATAGAAGTTTTATAATATTGTATCCAATTTGAATGGATCACATTATGTATATAGTTATATAGCAGCATTTGTGTAATCTTATTTTTTACCTATTGATAATTTATCATTTCTTTTAATTATAGTGACTTACAAGGAGTAAGAACAAATGCAAAAAAAGATGGAAGTGATTGGATTCTCAACGGAAGCAAGGTATGTAGAGAGGGGTAATGCCTTCTCTCTGGAGGCAGGCTGTGGATAATGATGTCTCAGATGCTGCACATTACTGGTTAGTGGACCTGAGGACTCACACAGAATTGACTTAGGTGCTTAGAGATAGTAAGGAACAACTTTTATGTTCCATCAGATCTGTGGTAACAGCCACAATGTTTGATGCATGTGCTCCTTCACAAATATTGCAAAGATGATTTTAGATCCAAACAGCCCTTCTCAAATCAGAAAAGGTGGAAGTAAGGTCCATGTGGCTCAAATATTCGATAGGCCATAGCTGAACTTGATGCTGATGAAAGATTTGGGGAAAATCTTTCTGGTAAATATCAAGGAATTTACAAATAGCCTACAGCAGAAAGGTACCAGATGTAATTTCAGAGCCTTTAAGTCCTTCTAAGGACTTAACACCCACTGGTACAAAAAAATACAGGGTTACAAATGGCCCAACAGCAAACACAGCCCTTCAAGAATCAGCATCACTGAGGGTGAATGATAATGCCTGTCTGAGAGCATGCCTGGTGTATACAGTACTTGGTAAGTATGTTTTCTTAACCTAGCGGTAAGTGGAGGAAGGATGCTCCTTTTCTATACTGTTCTAAGGAAGTCTTCCCGCAAATATGTATGAAGATGTGTTGAGTTTTGCTGTTTGTTTGTTTTGGTTGTTGGTACTAGGTGTTGAGCTCAGAGACTAGAAAATACTATGCATATACTCTAGAATTGAGCAATACCCCCAGCCCTATTTTCTTCATTAAAAATTCTTTTTATTTCCTGTTAGCTTCAGACTAATATCTTCATGTGTTCAGAGGATTTCATGGCACTAACAAATTACTAAGAGGTACTAAATATTGTCAATGTCTGTATTTGTGTTAGCAGGGACTGTTAACAGTTTATGCACTGACATCAGCATGCAGATTAAATGTTGAGAATCATGATTCTAAACAACATTCCTTAGTTTTGTCATGACAAAAACAGTGCCTTTATGGTCAAGTAAATTTGGAAGATGTGCAAAACTTCTCTGTCTGATGGCACTACACATCTCTAAAAGTTGGAAACAATAGATTTTATGTTTTGGGCGGGCCAGATAGCTCAGCAGACTAAAGCACCTGCTTAGGCAGAGTGCAACAGCCAGGTTCAGTCCCCAGCATGCCATGCTTGCCCCGCCCCTGGGGTGCATTGAGACTTGATTGAGACTAGGCGTAGTGGCATGTGCCTATAATCCCAGTGGTTGGGAGGCTGAAAACAGGAGAATCACTGTGAGTACGAGTGTGATCTACGTAGTGAGACCCTATAGATCCTGAGACCCTGTACTAAAAATACATTTTATATATATATATATATATATATATATATATATATGTGTGTGTATGTGTGTGTATATAGTATATATCTATGAAGAATTTTTATAAGCTATCATGAACTAATTTTTTATTCAAATGTACATAAAGAAGTATCAACCTAAATTATAAATACAGTTGATGCTGTTTCCAGTGGATATTCAGTTAACACGTAACTCCTGATATACAGTGATCTTGTTTTGAAAGGAGTGGGGGTATTTGTTTAAAAATGAATTGGGTTAGGCACTGTAGCACATGCCTTTAACTTTGGCTACTGGAGAGGTTGAGGCAGGAGAATCACAAGTTGAAGACCTGTCTTAGAAATGTGAACCAGACTGTACTGCAAAATTACAAGGGCTGGGGATGGAGTTCAGGACCGGCATGCTGTCCTAGCACGCACAGAGCCCTAGGTTCAACCCCTATTAAAAAAGATCCGATCCCAGTCTGCCCCGTTATGGTCTTCTGTGAGAAGCACTTAATAAAGATACCATTGACTGTTTCAAAAACCTTACTAGGAACAGTAAAAAGGATGGAAAGCATGTGAAGGTGATGGAGTGAGGAAGTAAATATAGTACACCGAGCTAATGGCCAAACTATAATATTATCACTACAAAAAATTTTACTTATATAATTGTTACGTTATAATTACATGTAAGTATGAACACTAACTGAAAAAGCGGCAAACAGAATGTAGATCTAGAATAACTTCAACTGTAAGAAGAGATGAGAAAAGAAATACATGTTTGTATTATAAAGTCAAAAATTTTTTTCTTGTTTTTATAACTTTATATCCTGTCTATGGTCTCCGTACACAGCTCAGACTTGTAGTGATCCTCCTGTTTTTTAGCCTCCCCAGAGCTGGGATTATAGGCATGCACCACCACACCTGGTCTCAGTGGCCAGCTCAGCAGGCCCTTGGCCAGGCCAGCATGGCATGCAATACTGGGAATTGAACCCAGGCCCTTGCACTTGCCAGGCAGGCACTTAGACCACTGAGCTATCTCTCCGGCCCAACAGTGACCTTATATTACATGGATTTAGTAAACATTATAGCCCTCAGGGATAATCCCAACCCTTTTCGAACGTTGGACTGTCACAAATAGAATACAAACTGAGCAAGACCACTTACAAAGAGAATTCTCTTTGAACATTCATAGAAAGGACATCAGTAATGATGGAAATACATTAGGTCAGGTTATTGTAGAAGTAGTTTATAATCCAGCAGCAGTATTTGGAGAAATCACTTAATTTTTCCAATATGAGCACAGGGTACTCAAGCGAATGATTTTTGTCTTACAGACAGCTCCTCTTTCTTTACATTCCATTGTTTGTTTGTTGTCTATAATTAATGCATTTCTGAGACCATGGGATTTAGAGGATACAGATGGCAATTCCTGGATGCATCAAACAGGAAAACACTTAACAACTCAGCTGTGCAAACTCATAAAGTGGTTAGTCTTACCCTGAAAGTTAGAAAAATTGGGACCTACTCAGTCTTTTTTAATTTTGTATTCATTTGGTACAGGGTCTTGCTACACAGGTTGGACTTGTAGTGACCCTCCTATATCAGCCTTCCCAGCGCTGGGATTAAGGTGTGTGCCACCACGCCTGTTTCAGTGGCTAGTATGGTTCACCCGGGAGCATCCCAGGGCCGGCACAGTATGTGGCACCGTGGGTTGAACCCAGGTCCTTGAGCTTGCCAGGCAGGTGCTTAGCCTGCTGAGCTGTCTCTCCAGCCCCCAAGAATTTTTTTCCCCAAAAATTTTTTTAAAAAGGAAGTGAAATAATGGAGCAATTGCTGAAAAAACAAAAACCCAAAACAACCCTGCATGTATTTACGTATTTGAGTAGGGTGCAGAAAGAGATAAATAAACACGTTTGCTTGTTTTAGTCCTCTTAAGTGTGTGTTCGCCAATCACAACCTACGTGAACATGAACACTGCAGAGCATTATGGTGTACATGGTGTTTTGCAGGTGTTCATCACCAATGGGTGGTTAAGTGATGTTGTGATTGTAGTGGCAGTCACAAACCGGGAAGCTCGATCGCCTGCCCATGGCATTAGCCTTTTTCTGGTGGAAGATGGGATGAAAGGATTTATCAAGGGACGGAAGCTGCATAAAATGGGATTAAAGGCCCAGGTAAGTTACAGTACAACTCATATTCAGAAAGTGATTGTTACTGCCAATCAGAAAAGACATATAGAGAATTACATGTAGCAGTGTCATACCTTCTTCCTATGCTAACTTCTTAGAATAAGGTTTTTAGAAAGATTTCTTCACACTAATGCTGCTGTATCTCTTCTAGTAGTCAGCAAAAGACATGAATCAGGATATTTTCAATATGTGTTTTAGAAATGGCAAACTTAACTTACAGTATTAAGCCAATACTTAAATTATTTCTTTTTTCGATATTCTAAGAAAATTATGGGACTGGGGAGATAGCTCAGTGGTCTAAGCACCTGCCTGGCAAGTGCAAGGACCTGTGTTCGATCCCTGGTACTGCATGCCATGCCAGCCACCAAAACCAGCATGGAGGCCCACGCTTATAACTCCAGCACTTGGGAGGCTGAGACCGGAGGATCACTACAAGTCTGAGCTGTGTAGCGAGACCCTATACCAAATAAATAAATCATTTTTAATAAAAATAAAGAAAATTATGAATTAGGAACAGAAAATGTTTCCAAGTATTACTAAAACACAGTTCTGTCAAATAGGTATTAGAAAGCAGTACTTCTCAGCAAGCTGATGGTACTGGAGCCAGTGTGACAAGGTACTGCATGGAGAAGTTACAAGTTTGGGAATCAGATGGACCAGTCTGTCTGTCTGACTTAGGACTTACTTTTTCTGTTCACTGACCATGCCCCAGTGGCTTCCAGTTTGTTCCTTTTTAAAAATCTTGATTGGAAATAAGTTACTTCATTGGCTTATTGGGAAATGTTAGTGAGCTTGAGCATGTTTTACTTAATTGGTTGTTCTTTTAGGATACTGCAGAACTATTCTTTGAAGATGTCCGATTGCCTGCTAGTGCCCTACTTGGGGAAGAGAATAAAGGCTTCTATTACCTCATGCAAGAGCTCCCTCAGGTCAGAAATTAAAGATTCCACCTTTTAGTAGTATAATGGGCTAGAATAGAATAATACAAGATGATATACAAAGTCTGATTGAAAAATATAGTAAATGTTTACATTTTTAAACATGTGCTACAGTCAAAGGCATATTGCTGTTAGTCTCCCTCAGCAGATGCCCAGCCCCATGCTTTGAACATGCTTATTCCTTCCTCGGCCACTCTCTGAGGTATTCTGGAAGTCTTTTCTATGAATGTCTTTAGTTGCACTTTTATGGCGGCTTTGCTGTCCTGATTTACTTTTTAAGATCATTTTGACTTCAGGAAAGATCCAGAAGTTGCATGATGAGTAAGATCTGATGAATAAGGTGAATGTGGACACACTGCAATATGTGAAGAGCCTTACCTTTCTTCCATGAAACGTAGAAGCAACATTAACCACATAATCTCACCTTACACACCTTGGAAAGATAAAAAATACTTCCAGATCTGCATCATAAGGTGGCAGGAATTTTGGGATAAATGTGTTTGAAGGGAGGGAGAGTGTTTAATACCAATATGTCTTTTATTAACTGTAAAAATTTAAAAATTTAAACATGCACTGTAACTTTGGTCAGCCCTTGTTGACCTGTACTGCCAAAATGAACTCGGGAATATCTAACCAAAGCTTGTAGAGTGAGTAGGAAAAAATAGAATTTGTTTTTCAGTCCTAGGATTCTGATTCCCTCTTGGAATGATTTAAGCTTAATAACTAGAAGTCGAGAACTGTTAGCTTTTTGTAAGGCAGTATCACTGAAAATATCTGGCAAATTGAATAATTTTGACTCAAAGGAAAAAGGGTATTAAGTTCAAACTGAAAAATTTAGTACTGTAAAAGCTAGCTCCATATCTGTTTTTTGAATGTGGTTGCCTACAGGTCATTGGACCTCATATGCCAGCTTAAGAGAGTACGCTTATAACTGCCATGGCACAAGCTAAACATGGAATTAGGGGAAAGGGCTAGGAACACAGCTTTTAAATATAGTAGCAAGATCATCATCCAGATGGATTTAGTGTAACTAAGAGTACTCTTGCACTAGTAGGTAGAATTTAACCTATATTCTTGAAGATGTTTATTTGTACAGATATATTGTTATATAGTTCAGAAATAAATAAAAAATGATCATCTGTGGAATTTCTTTACAAAGACATGAGTATAAAGAAGAGAAAGTTATGTAGATTATGTGTAGTAATGATAGTCTGTCATAAAATTGAGGGGTTTTTTTAGTTATTTATGCCTGTAATCCCAGTGCTAGGGAAGCTGAGACAGGAGGATCACTATGAGTCTCAACTGTAGAGTGAGACCCTGTACCAAATACATAAACTTAAAAAATAAAAAAAAAGAAATTTTTTAGAAAATTATTCTTTTAGATAGGTCAAAATCTCAAATCTCTGTGGGAGGATTTTATTATAAAGAGTTAAATAAATTAACCTTTAAGAGTTCATTTGAAAGATTATTTGTTGGATTTATTTACAATTGAAATTGTGAGAAAATCATTTGTATAATTAGAATAATGCTTGAGACTTTATTTTTGGGTTTTAGGAAAGGTTGCTAATTGCTGATTTGGCAATTTCCGCCTGTGAATTCATGTTTGAAGAAACCAGGAACTATGTTAAACAAAGAAAAGCTTTTGGGAAAACAGTTGCACACATACAGGTAAGCTTGTTGTTACGGTTAGTACTAGGTGGTAACAGCTGATTCATCTGAAGTGGGTCTAGGGTAAATGTCAATTCGAGCTAATTTTAGTATGTCATATCCATGAATGAGATGCTTAAGGGAAAGGGAGTGAAAAATAAGACCAGAGGTCCCAGAACAGAGTCCCTTCAAGAATTTCTGCAAGATTTGAAGATGGAATAGGAAAGAAAGAGCCTGAAAAGATGGCTGAGTATGCACAGTAGAAAGGAAAAAGCATATCAGGAGAGTGTTGCCTCAAGCCAAGGGGAAGGAAGATGTTTATGTGGGAGGGAGTAGGATCTAATGGTAGCTGGAGGCAAAACACATAAATGCCCAGTTGGAACACTCACTGGATACAATGATTGAGGATTTTATAAGGGCTGTTGATGCTGGTGTGCAGGGACAGGCCAAAGTAGAGGACTGTCAGTGGAAGTAAGTAAAGATCGTAAAGAGAGAGAATTCCTTTCTGATTTTTGTCTGAGAATAAAGATGGTAATGGAGAAGGGGAGGATGTGAGAGTCAAAGGAAATACCCAGAGGTTACTGCTTTGTTCTTATTATGATGGAAGTATTGAGGCATACTGTAATACCTAAAGGGCGTAGTACAGGGAAGCATTGTGATAACACAGACGATCATCAATTGCTTTGGTCCTTTGATATGTCGCTGGGTTGGTCACAACCAGTAAGAAGTTTTTTGTCAAGAAGCTTTAATTTCCTTAGCTCTCAATAGAAAAAATAAAGAGGCGCTGCTGTGCACCCTCCTGCCAGCTTCTCCCCATTCTTGCCAGACTTGCTGTAGCTCACCCTTAGTCCAGTAGGCAGCCAGTGACTGTGTGTGGTTACAGAAGTTGTGCAGAAAAGTGTGAAAAGAAACTGTGGATGAACAGCTGTCACAGGGCTGCCGTGAACTGAAGTTTTTAACTTGGATTTGTAACTTAAATGTTTCTGTTTATAAAATACTAATGATTTGTGATGTATTTTCCTGCCAATTAAAACACATGTTTTATTCGAAAAAAAAAAAAAAAAAGAAAAAGTAGAGGCATGGACACATCTGAGGAGAGGCAGGAAGATTCAAAGTGCTCTTTTTAGAGTGAAAGACTCAGCTAACTAGAGAAACACCATAGCTTGCCAGCACTACTGGGGACCATGAGGTTGGTGACCAGGAATTACATTGCGTCTTCTACATTTTGGGTATGAGTGTTGGTAATACAAAAATAGCCTGTGCAGACAGAGTAAATGGGTGGCAGTTGGTTCTCCAGGAAGTTTAACATACTGCAAAAGAACTCAGTGTGTAGTGATCAAACCACCAAATACACCAGTCAGATTTTGGACCCTCGGAATTTCTCATTAAAAGAAGGAACAGCTGGGCATATAGCTCCGCGGCACAGCACCTGCCTGGCAAGTGCCAGGTCGTGAGTTTGATTCCCAGTACCAAAAAATAAAAGAAACAGTTTATAAGCATTGCGTCATCAATTTGGTGAGACATGTCACTAGTGAAAACTTTGAGTTGGGATTTTACTTTTAAAATTTCAGTCACAGTGACTTTGATTAGAAGGTTTTGTGAAGGTAAAGATAGAGTACCTTGATATTAAGATCAGCATTATAGAAATTAAGTTTAAGTGTGGCTGAAATCCTAGCTCATCTCCTGAAGTTTCTCTAGCCTAAGCAAATTATCTCAAACATTTTCCTCTTCGTAAGATTTTTAAAATGCACTTGGTATGTGGAATTGTATTTATTAATAAGACCAATAGCTGTCTCATAACAGGATTGCTGTTATGATTTGAGAAGGAAGGGTACAGTGCTTAGAATATTGCCTAGTAAAATAAGCCCCAGTAAAGTTGGCTGTTACTGTTTCTTCCTTACATGATGCCTTGCTGCATTTTTCTCGATATAGCAGGGACTTTTTTAAAAATCAATTTTTTGCTCCTGATGTGGGCCTTTTCTTCTGTCTTTTTAGAAACTTTACTGCCTATATATCCATCAAATTAACTTTTCTGTGCTCTGAAAAAAAAGTCTTTGTATACATCACAAGCCAAAACAGTTGCCCCAAATTTGTAAAAGTGAGGTGTATACTCAGTCAGATAATACAGTTTAAGCAGCAAGCCAGGCATGGGGTACGTGCCTGTCATCGTGCTCTGGAAGACTGAAGCAGGGGAAGCTGAAGTTCCAGCCTAGCCTGGGTAACTTAGCGACTTAGACCATATCTCAAAATTTAAAAAAGTAAAAGGGCTAGGGAATGCAGCTCCAAGTAAAGACCCTATGTTCAATCTCCAGTGCCCTAAAACAAAAATGGTACAAGTGGGAATAGGCACACACTGGTAATCTCAGGATTGCAAACTTGAGGCTAACATGAGCAATTTAGCCACACTGTGTTAAAACAGAAAAGAGGGGTCTAGTGCTAGAGATGTGGCTCGGTTACCCTGGATTCAGTCCCCATTAGGGTGTGAGGTATAGAGAGTTGGGGACAGAGGTAGGGGAAAGAGAAGAATTGGCTAAACTTTTTTTAAGAGCCAGGGTGTTGCATTGTGTATCTCCTTTCATGGAGGAATCATGGTTCATGGGTCCTATTGCCTTCCCTTGCCCCTTAGGTATCCAAAAGTGTAGAAGATGGGGTCGTGAGCAGTAACTGGAAGTGCACCTTATTTTTAAGAGTCCTGGAGGAGAGTGTTGTTAAATATCTTCCAATTCAGAGACAGTATTGCATTACAACTAGTCTCATTCAAAATACTAATACCTGTAGTCTCCTGTTGAGAAATGCTGACACACTTTAGTCCTTTTTGTTTCACTGAGCACTTAATATTAGGTGCCTTCTGAGGTTGTATTCAGGGATAATTTGGTAGGTCTGACTTGGGAAATACACATGGAAGCTCCTGGCAGTTTGAGAGAAGTTGTGCCACTGGGTATCACTCTGTGACTGTCTCTTCTATACCCAAAGCAACATCAGTAATATTAGCCTCTCATATTCAGCCATTACCATTTACATCAAAGATGTTTATTAAGACATTTTATAAAATAAGGCTATTGGCCTTATTCTGTAAAAAAATTCAAGGGCTGGCGAGATAGCTCAGCAGACTACTAAGCACCTACTAAGGCAAGCCCGGATACTAGGGGTTCAATCCCTGGCACCACATGCTGCTGCACTGGCCCCACCCCTGGGGGGCACTGAGCTAGCCCCAAGTCTGGGCACAGTGGTGCACACCTGTAATCCCATCACTGGGGAGGCTGAAAGAAGGAGGATCACTATAAGGTCCGAGCTGCATAGTGAGAACCTGTACCAAATACATAAATTTAAAAAATAAAAATTCAACCAACTAAACATAATATCCATCCTTTTAGAAATGTATATTCCATCTGTTTATGGATTTACTATATTGTAGCCAAAATGACTATAGTATTATTCACTTTGCCTGAATGGCTCAGAAAACGTGATTTTGACATATGACCATGAAGAAATTGGACTGTTTACTCTTAAAACACTTCTTCAAAATACACTCGTGGGCAGTATGTTTCCGTCATTGACAGAGTATGTGTAGAACCTACTGACATAGCCAGTCAGTTACTGGTGTGTTTGTGGAAATGCTGAGATAAACCATCAGTCATGTAAAAGTATGATTGTGTATGGTACCATATAATTATGTGATAATAAATAGCTATTATTTGTTTATATATTCATTATACTATACTTGGCCATTAGAGTATATTGACATTCATTTTAAAAAGCTCACTGTAGAACAGTGTGCTGTCTTATGCCAACAGCAGCCTCATAATCTTGTGTTTTCCAAGGCTCTTGATTACAAGAGGTGCAGCCATTGACCTAGACCATCTGGATTTGTGTAAGTGCATTTCACAATGGTCATACAGTGAGATTCTCTAGTGGCATGTTTCTCAGAACATCCCTATAATCAAGCAACAGTGAAATTATCTAAGGACATATTTTAGAATACTCCTATAATTAAGCAACACATGGCTGTGTCTATTTCTTGTAGTTTCATAGCAAAAATAAATAGCTTTAATCCTATTTTTCAAAACGGCATCTTATTACCTTCCTGCAAAAGCAGTTCACTAAATTTTCAGTAGAGGGCAGTAGCATTTTGCTCGCACAGGTTTATTTTTAGGTGGCACTGTTTTCAATAGGAGTATGTACTGAAGTTTCTGAACTAATTCTTTAACTTTTTTGTTTTATTGAATAAGTGTCTTTGAATAAAATGTTCATATTTACATTAGGAATATATATAGAGATGATAAATGACCAGTACATGCTTAAAACTCCTGTTCTAGAAGTGGATTCACTATGGTTCTTTTTTACTCAACTGAGAAAGACTTATGTCAGTCACGATTTACTTGGCCTAACACCGTTTTATAACTGGCCAGCTGTTCAATTTCCTTTATCTAGATTCTTAAATTTTTGAATGTTTTGGGTCTTTCTAACCATTTAGATACATGGTCACAAAATTTATATATTTCTTTTTTTGAGTGGAGAGCTTTAATACTGAAGTGTAGCCATGGCTACACATTTTTATTTTCTTTATAATGATAGGTGCTGTACAGCTCATGATTTTCCATGGAATAGGCCATGTAACATTGAAATTATTAATGAGATATTACTTCCTGCCTTCTCCCTTTGTACCAGACACTATTCTACAGGAAATGTCTCTTTTTACCTTCACAGCCATATAAAATAAGTGTTACAATTATCTTCATTTGATAGATAAGAAAGTTGAAGCAGAATGTTTAAATAACTTGAACAAAGCTACACAGACACTCCTAAGTCCAGAACCTACATTCTTTTCTTTATTATTTTTGCTGCTTATATAGGACATCTAATGTTTATACAGAGAGCTGCAAAATTCCAGAGGTGATATAATGGGAATTGAACATTTTCATTTGAATTTCCACCAACCTTTTTCTTCATCCTAAGTCATCTTAATATTCTCTGAATAGTCTTTTGGATGTGAAGATGGTATCTGTTTCGTCAATAAAGACACACATTTCAGGAATATGTGTGTATATACATTTTTAAAAAAAATTTTAGAGAAAGGTCTATAGCGTGTTCAGGGTCTCAGTACTAGATCGGACTTGTAGAGATCCACCTGTTTACAGCCTCCCAAGAGCTGAGATTACAGCCACGTGCCACCATGCTTCAGTTGCCCTCTTAGGGCACCCCGTGGATGGGGCAGGCACGACATACCCGGGGATTGAACCCCTGGCCCCTGTGCCTGCTTGCAGGCGCTTTAATCTGTTGAGCTATTTTGCCAGCCCTTGCCCACATCTATAAACACGTGTATAGTCTACATATGGATATATTTTTTTAAAAATTAGAGTTAAAACAAAAATTGCAAGTGATACAGAATTTACTTAACAAAGTAATATCAGTTTCATAGTATTTGTTGCAATACAGTGTTGTTTTCCAACCACTTATTCATATTACCAGATAATTGCATGTAAAATTGAAAAAAAAAGAAATAGAAATTAAGAAGAGAAAAAGTACAAACAGAAAGAAATATATGAGAAATTAAAAAGAGATAAAGTACATGCAGTTGAAATGAGATAAAACAAATCAGTTTTATCTGCTCCTTTCCATAGACCAGCAGAAATGCACAGTACAGTTGTCCGAATCATCCTGCTAACATACCTAGATCAGTCTCTTTCCCCCACTCCCTCTCCTGTCCTTTTCCTCAACTCAGTAACTCTTTGCTTTTGAATAAAGAACCTGCATTCTTAACCACACAGGTCTTACTGCTCAGAAGCCTACGTGGATGGCCTTTTTTCCTTTCTGTACTTTCACTCAGTGGCCAATGAAATAAAAACAGAATGTACTTTTCTCAGTCAAACTCTTGATTAGTCATTTCCTGTGTGGTTCATGCTCTTGGTTCTAAGGGCACAAAGGAGGGGTTAACGCTTTTCCCTTCTGTGCCTGCAGAAAGAATAGCTAGTTCTTAATTAACTATAAGCTTAGGTAAGAAAACTAATCTATTTTTCTTACATCTAAAGTCATATGATACATACAGCTAGTGGTGTTTAAATGACTGCTGGGGCAGGTAACCTCTCCTAGTGTCTTCCAATTCTAAGAGTCTTAAGATATTTGTTATTGAGAACTGTCAAAAATACTATCCAATCCAGTTAGTAACTTTAAAAGAATCTTTTAAAAAGCTAGCTGAAGCAGTACCTATTAGCAGATATTAATGACTGTTAAAGATATGGCTGGCTGTAAACATGTTAACCATTCATCAAAAGCATCTCGCTGATGCTGTGTGGTACAATGTTAGTTGCCATTCATTAGATAATGGGTTTAGAAAGCATAACACAGTGTCTACAGTAAAGAGCAAAGGCCAGTGCTGTCTGGCAGCACTCAGCTTAGTACCAAGAATATGTACATATCCAGTCCCTTTATCTGCAGAGAGTAAGTCATGTACTCTTGTAGGCATTAATTTTTCTGTGGACCTCCATGAGGGTACTGAAGCGAGGGTTCTAAGTGAGTCCATTCTGGCGTGAAATTTAACTTCAGCTTCTGGAATCTCCCAGCACTCCCACAGGAGTTCTCATGAGAGACTCAGGCTTCTCCTGTACTGTGAATAGCACATAAATTCTCAAGGGTGGTATCATGTTGGACGAAAATGTCTTGAGCCTTGTTAGATTCTTCTTTATTTTCCAAGTGAGTATCAGTAAACTGAACCCAGAATGGGCTGAGAACAGTTGCAGGAGTTTTCATGAAGTATTCCTTCATCTGTTCTCAATTTATAGACAAGATTGTTTTCCTGCTTTTTTTATTTGTTGTTCCATCTTTAGACTTTCCATGAATAAACTTAAATGTATGAGGTTAGAGTGGGAAAACTTTGTGCAAATTAAAGGGTAGAAATTAAAGGGAAAGAATGTAAGGGAAAGAAAGCCCAGGCGTGGTGGCACATGTGTGATCCCAGCACTCAGGTGACAGAGGCAGGATGACTGCACATTTAAGGCCAGAGTGGCATACATAGGAAGCTGAGCTACACATTGAGACCCTGTCTAAAAAAAAATGACATTAAAGTTATGTTGAGGCCCAACATGGTTAGAATTCAAGGCCAGTACACAGGGAGACAGGCTTGGCATTAGGTTTCAGTTATGTTCTGTTTTTAGAATTAGGGTGGAATAAAACCAAGAGAAGGTAAATGTTTTTGGTTTTTAATCAGCTTAGTAGGGTTTTTTTTTTTGTTTGTTTGTTTTGTTTTTTTTTTTTCCTCGAATGCCTTCAGGGCACTTTTGGCCAGCGGGAGAGTTGTGAGGTTCGAACTCCAGCAACCTGAGGCTGACAGCTTTGTGGAAGCAGTCACTTAAAGGACTGAGCTAGGGCCAGGCCCCCAGCTTAGTAGGGATGTGGGATGTTGATGCATCTGTACAGAATCTATCTCTTGGATCTCCTGTTCCACTTGACACACTGAGATCTGGCTAGGTCCTGGGTCATGGCATTTTCTAGAAATAAAAATACTGAAACTATCCCCACACCAATGACACTAAAAGTTTTAGTTTTGTGGCTTCAGACTTCTTGTCGCCATGAGACAGGAGGATCGCTGTGAGTTCAAGACCAACCTGCACTACAAAAGTGAGCACAAGGCCCCCCCAAACTTGAACCCTGTCTCAAAAAAAAAAAAAAAAAAAAGAATTTGGATCAATGCCTAAAAAAAAAAAAAAAAAAAAAAAAAATTCTTGTGACCAGTAGTGTAAAAATAGTCCCAGGATCCTCTGAAAATCTAGCTCTTCAAACTTCTTTTGAGAACTCAGTCATGGCTTTGGATTTTTCAGTATGTATATGTGAAAAACACTAAATTTCTGTGTTTCCCTGCACCAACTTTGTCACTGACTTCCATGTATGTGCCTGCTGTTAACCTATGCCTTAAAAATCCCACAGGAAAACGGTCAGAACTCTGTTTATATCTGAACTTCCATAATGAAGACTGCAGCAGCCGACATTACCTGGGCCTCAATCTTAGTCATCTAGAATAGAGTGTACTTGTAGAGGCTACTCAAAGTAGAGTGTGCCAGTATGTCAAGTCCAAGCCAATTTCCTGAAGGAGGTTTAAGTTGATGCCAAAGAAAACAGTCTAAACCCAAAGTTCAGGGTGTGAAAATAAAAAGTAGAGAATAAAGTAACTTGATTACAGGGAGAGCATTCCCAATAATTAAAGATGTTTTCAGTTTCCGAGGGTACATGGTAAATTAACATTGAGAATCCCAGATCATTCAATTTCATTTAAATAATGTGCTACGCATACTCCAGAGGAGTGAGAGTGAGTGTTTGGGGACGGAGTACAAAAGGTTAAGGCATACTGGAGTTTGACTTCCTGAGTGATTTGATTCCTTATTAATAATATAAGTACTTCTTTGCACGGTAGATATTTTGATGCACTTATGAACATACAGTGTGTTCTAGTCCACCTACCTTGTTGCTTGATTATTTTAATCTAAGACAAAAAGAATAGGGAAATGCATTTACTTTATTTTATTAATGCATATAATTAATTTCATTAATTCTTCAAGGATTTAGTCTCTGGAGGAAAACAGGTGTGGTCAACAGCTGTACTAAAAGATTATACCACCAGATGGTGCTCATGCGTCAGTCACTTTGGTTTGCAAGCAGTTTCCCTTGATAAAGTCTAACCCATGAGGAAATTTTGGTATTTTTCCGTTTTGCATCTTTTAGCACAAGTTTCCTTAGCACCTAAATATATTTATTTGAGTTTTAAATTTAAGCTGATTAATTCAACATATACCTTGTTTTGGAAGATAAAACCAGCAATTTCACATTTAGTTTGCTTTTGGTATCTTTTACTACATAATTAATGAACTGCTGAATTAAAATATATACTTTTATCAAACTCATTTTAGTCTTTCTTTGTCTTTAAACGCTAGACTGTGCAGCATAAGCTAGCCGAGTTAAAGACACACATATGTGTCACCAGAGCTTTCGTGGACAGCTGTCTGCAGCTGCATGCAGTGAAGCGTCTGGACTCTGCCTCTGCCTCCATGGCAAAATACTGGTACGCCTGTTACAAGAGCGAAACTGCGGGGTGTGTGCACAGTGGCACAGGGTTCTGCTGAGTGTAAACTCAGTTTTGGGGATATAAATGACAACAAAAGTAAGGATCACCTTTTTTTAAACTGTTGAAAAGTCCAAGTAGGCTTATTTTATAATGTGCTAAAAATTTCTCAAGCTGGTATTTAAGTCATAACTTGCTATTGAAAATAAAGTACTAAGAGACTGAAGTAGGATAACTGCTCAGTTCATACAAGAAACAGTTTATTTTCAAATCTGCAGTGCGTCAGCACAGTCAGACAGTCTTAGCGTACTGTACAGTCCTGATTCTGCCATTAAGTAATTTTAACCAGGCTTCATTCTTCCTGGGATGGCTTTTTTTATTGGTGAAATGATTAGGTTAGACAGGATTTTTCTATTTGAGGTGATTTTAGATCTAAGAAAATAATTGTTGAATGAGTGACTGTCCAACCAAAAGTCACATACTCTATTAAGTGAGAAGATATTGTTTAGAAAGACTTTCATTTTGCAATACAGGTAGGTATATTTTAAGATGCAAGAACTTAGAATTTAAATCAGATTGTAGATGTAGATTTAGTTTCCTCTTGTTAAAAAATTCTTACATCTCATTAGGCCAAAAGTAACCTTGAAAAAAATTCCTATCATTATTATTCATTAACTTGGTTCAGCTTAGTCATAGGTTAAAAAAAAAGGGGGGGGGAATGTGCTTTATATAGTGATTGCTGTAATCACTATATAAAGAAGAAATAGGACAGTTTGCAAAGTAACGTGGAATTATTAGAAACTAGAGCTAATGTAAAAATGTAAATGTAATGTAAATGTAAAAAATGGAGACTTTTTACATTTATATCAAGTGCTTTGACTAGTGTAGAAAAGTGTAAAAGATGTAGATATTTTGGGGAAAAGAAAAGTTATATAGTTATTGACCTGTTCCTTTAAAAAAAGTTTTATAGACATAAGTTTTTATGGGTATAGCAGCATGGAGTGCACCTGGTTGTACCCCCGTAAAACTTCGCTGAAATACTTGCCAGATAGAAAAACTTACTGAGTTCCAAATATCATTGCTAGCTGGAGATTTTTCTGTTTAGGAACATCTTTACCTGTCCGATAGCTTGAGTCAAAAATTATTTTAACAACAACAAAAAATGTGTCTGTGGCTACCTTTGCCTTATATTTTCAACTATTGCAAACAGAAGAGTTTTGAAAGGACTTAGATTTTTTAGTGAAAGTGAATTAGAGCCCTATCTCCATGGATTTTATTCATGCACAAAGGCCTGGGGGTGAGCCCAGCACTGCCCAACAAATATAACTACTGTGATAAAATCAGAAAAGACTCCTCAGGTTCTTTGGAAATCTTCCTCTGAATAATAACCCTAAATAACTTTTTAATGGTTCCTAAATAGTGAAGTGTACTTCAGTAAGCTATCTACCTCAGTTTTCAATTTTGCCATGGGCTTATTTCTAGAAAATTAGCACCTTAAACTTTTTTTTTTTTTTTTTACCATTTTTGGAATTCAGAATTGTAATCTTTAGAAAAAAAGTAACATCTTTGGAAAGAAAAAGACACTGCCAAGAGCAAACTAGATGGAATTAGATGGCTGAGTAAATTAGATCATACTGAGAATCTAAGCTAGACCTAATCAGTCCTCAGTACAGCCTTTTCAAGCCAGAAATAGCCAAAACCTAATAGTCTTGAGTGTTTACCTTTTGTTTCTAGCCTTTAGAAAAATGCAGCCAGAAGTAAAATTGAAGGAAGGTATTCCTTTATGTGAAAGTTCTATTGCAGTTATTTTATATGTAACTTTTATCATCTTTTTGATAGGTTTATTTTAATTCTTTGATAAGTATATACATTGCATTTAAATCATCATAAATAATATCTTGCTTATAGTGCCTCTCACAAATACTTATTTTACACTTTTCTGCTTTTTATCTTGCTCATCCAGGGCATCTGAGCTACAAAACAGCGTAGCCTACGACTGTGTACAGCTCCATGGAGGCTGGGGGTACATGTGGGAGTACCCCATTGCAAAGTGAGTACCAGAACTCTGTTACGCCGTTCTTACTGACGCAAAGGACGGATGTTTCCTTCACTTTGCACATCAAGTATAGAGGGAAAGAAAGTACAAACATTTTGTATTTTTCAGCTGACTGCAGAATATGTTTGTGCAAATTAGAAGCAGCTTTATTTTTTAACAACTCATGATTAGAATTGTCATTTTTTTAAAAAAGAGCTCACATACCGAAGCTGGACGCCTGGCTGGGCTTTGAAGAACACATAGCACTTTTCATCATTGTATAGTTTTTGCAGTGCTGGAGCTTGGGCCCAGCCCCTTGCACGTCTAGGTAGTGTGAGCTACCATGGGGTTAGACCTGTAGCAACATTTATAAGCAAGCAAGCAAAAATAGCAATATGGAATTTGCATACTGGAAGGATATAATATACCTTATTTAATTATGTGTTTTGCTTTGACAGGTAATTGTTTATTTTTTCCAAATAGAATTTTCATCTCTTCAAGTTAGAGGAAATGAAATGCACCTCTTTAAGTATGTGTGAATATTGTTAGCTTGAAACAATGGTACCTTGTGCATAGGGAATGTCATCTTCCTCATTTCTTTTTCCTTGTGTTTCCATTGTTTCCTCTTTCCTTCTTCCACTGGGCTTCTGCCTCAGTTTCCTCATGACACATTTCTTTATTATCTTACAAAGTATCTTTTTCGTCTTTCTTTCTTTCTTTCTTTTTTGTATTATGGTAGATTAAACTCAGGAGCTTTGCACTGAGCTACTTCCTCATTCTTTTTTTAATGTTTTATTTTGGGATAGGGTTTTGCTAGAGTCTGGGCTAGAATGTGAGATATTTCTGCCTCAGCTTCCCGGAGTGTTGCTATTACAAGCATGCACCACCACCCCTGCTTTTATCCTTCTTTACAGTATTTTCAGTTCATAAAATTGTCCAGAGAAAGTATTGATGTATATTTAGAAAAGTTCGTTTTAATTCTGAATTTGAATGCCATAAAAGTGCCATGGGGTGCCAGGGAGAAAGCTCAGTAGAATAAGCACTTGTCTGGCAAGCACAAGGGCCTGAGTTAAATCCCTGGTTCTGCAAAAAAAAAAAAAAAAAAGAATGCTATTGGTTTCTAAAAACATATGCTAACTTGTATCTGAATATAGGGGGTTTAAATAAAAAAAATCAAACTTCCTGATGCTTTCTTTTGAAATTATCAGTTTTATGTATAATGTAAAAACTGATACGCTTGTACTCTGTACAGAGGAAAATAAGCATTTTATTAGAATCTTAAGAACAGAAGCTATAACATAGATATAATTTGCTAACATTCTCTGATTACTGGCAGCTCTGAAAACTTTAGTTTATTAGATATAATTTATAACTGTAAAAGCTGAGCATTAGCCAGAGTTGTTTCTCTTGTTAATGTAGGCATGAAATAGCTCAGTGATTCCTTTTTGTTTCTTTAATCAGTCCCTGAACTTGGCTTTCATTTGTCCTTTCTGAATTGCTTTTAATAGACCTTAGACGGGTGTGTGTGTGTGTGTGTGTGTGGTACTGAAGATTGGACCTACATCCCCAGCCCTTTTTGGTTATTTTCTATTTTGAGACAAGTTCTCAGTTAAGTCCCTAAGTTGCCTACCTGGGCTTGAAGTTGTGAGCCTCCTCCTTCCCTTGCCACCCAGCACGCTGTGGTTGTGGGTGTGTGCTGCCACACCCAGCTAGCAGATCTCTTTTAAATCTTTGTGTCGTCATGAAATAAACATTGAGTGAGCTAGTACAAATTTAAGCATCACTGGAATTTTTCCTGTGCATTTTTATGTTTTACTCAGAGTATTCATCCATCATATTCATAATATTCACAGTGCTTAGAAAATGACATAGAAGTAGATGTTTATGTTTTTCTGCTTAACTGTGTTGTTATAACCACCACTGGGAATGCAGTCATGGAGTGGTTTCGTGTTTGTGTAGCTTAGTTCAGGTTCCAAGAAAGACATACCAGATGCAGAGGAGCCAGCCATCTGAATCATTGAAGATTAGTGTGCTGTAAACTGTGGTCTGCTTTCTCAGAGTTTTTTCCTTCATATCAGTAGCAAGCAAGACCTGATGGCTTATTTAAAATCCTTGCTTTCAGTTTGAAAAACTTACGTGTCCTGTGAGGAATAATAATTACCCAGTTGGCCACCATGTTAGTTCAAAGACTACAAATCTTTATCTCGACCACTATTTATCTCCCCAAAGGTAATATGATTCTGTCACATCAAATCAAGTAAGCTGAGTAGACACATAAGGCGATACGTGGGTCTACATGCAGACTTTTTTGTCCTGGTACCTTCATGTCAGATAAGAAAATCCATCTGCTTGTGATTCTTCCATCCCCTAATTAAGCTGCATTGCTCATTACCCATGTATAACTTATTGCTGTGTCTTGGTTTCATAGGTAAAATAAAAATACTTTGTTCCCCCACTCCCATATTTTCTTTAATAAACCCAGCATGTGGGCATATTTGTCTTATTCATTGGAGTGGGACTCTGAGAAGTGAGGCTAAAGCTTGGTTACTTGACAACTTCTGTGTCAGGCCAGGAGAGGCAGCCAGACATGAAGAGCTTCAGTGCCGTGTAGTTAAACATTTCCTCTATTGCTATTTTTTGTTAACTTTACTTGATGACCAAATTTAATTAGTAACCTATGAAACGTCCACTGATCTCTGTCATTAACTACTCCTTTGGAACTTCTTTATTGTGAGGAAAAAAGTGCCCTGGCCAGTCTGAAACAGCCTGAGAGCCTCAGAGTTGCCGATGAAGGAAGCTCCTCAACATGCAAGTGCCTGCCTTTGAGGGAAACTATAAAGTCTGTCCAGGAAGGAGTATACATGAAAATATAAATGTCTGGATTTTAAAACTTTCAGCAAAAAGTACTGAGGTTCTAAATTTCCTTTGCAATACAATAAATTACATCGGTAAATATTTACTTAGTGCCCATTTGTTTGCAAGGTACTATGATGAATGTGAAGAAATGTAAATCCAGAGTTGGTCAAGTTCCTAGAGAGCTGACACATTTCATTTGTCTTAAAAATTAAATAAATAGCCTAAGATTTTAATTCAGAAAAAAATTCCTTTGATCTTGTCTGCTAGAAAATTCTAATGCTCAATAATTAGCCCCAAGTGCCTGCATCATTGAAGGACTGTGACATAATAAAAACAATACTTTCTAAAGAGTTAGGATATTTAACATTCAAATTCCAATCTGCCAGCACCTGTATTGTGACTTATAAATGGTATGGTAACCATTAATTAGTAAATTCTGTGATTCTGGGTTCTTCTACATGAAAAATTTTCATAGTATTTATTTTCTTGTTCCCAGAGCTGAGAGGTTAAATTGAGATGAGAAGAAAGTAAAAATAACCAGACAGTGGCAGGCATGGTAGCCATTGTGGCTTTCAGAATCACTGACAGTGTGTCTTTCTGTATGACGGTGGCAGTGAAGTCTGCCACTTGGTATTTTAACCCTGTAAGTCACTGAAATGAATATTAATGTTCTCCAAAAATAATTTACTTTTTTATAGATATAGTGTTTTATAAAGCATCTATTTATACTACTGATGATAATAGAGTAATAGTGGTGATACAAACTAAAAGAATAATGAAAGATACCTAACTTCTATAGTTTTTTGGTCTTTGTTTCGTTTTGTTTTGTTTTGTTTTGCGCAACTGTTTCACTGTGTAGTTAAGGCTAGCCTTGAGCTCACATTGTAGACCAGACTAGCGTCGAACTTGCAGTCATCTTCCTGCCTCAGCTTCCTGAGTACTGGGATTATAGGCATACATCACCATGCCTGGCTTAGTTTCTTTTTGCTTTAAAACAAGTATATTTCAACTTCCTGGGAAAAATCAAAAGATAACAAATACTTATGATATTTCACATATTTCAAAAATTGCAACATACTTTTGAGAATGTTTTTATATATGCTGGATTTTATAAACTTAAATCAGATGAAAATTACAAATTTGACTTTGAATTTGAAATCTCTTTAAGGAAACTAAAAAGGCTATCTAAATTATCAGTGCCTTAATATATTTTTAAATATGTCAACCTGGGAAAATAAGTAAGTTATGATGAACTTTTATTGCTTGGATTTCATTAAATGTGTACTTTAACAGCTACTTGGTAAAATGAATTTCAAAATTTTAATATCTTTTGTTTATATAAAATCAATTATCTTTCAATTTATCTAGAGCTTATGTGGATGCCCGGGTTCAGCCAATCTATGGTGGTACCAATGAAATAATGAGGGAACTGATTGCGAGAGATATCGTCCGTGACTAGTAGACATCTGCCCGCATCCTGGAATCCTATTATAGCTGATCAGATTCTAAATCTACTCAAGACAAAGTGTAACCTGGACAAGAAGGAAACATGGCCCGTGTTTTCATGTGCTCTGTCTGCAGAGAGAAAAAAGTCAAACACAGTAATGCAGTGCATGGAGGAGTGTTTGAATCCAATAACTTAAACCCTCTCATAAAAGGTTTAATTTTTAATTTTTTATATGAAAGTTAAAAATTTCCTAACTCCAGAAGCCTTAACTTAATTCTAAAATTCTAAACTTAAATTCTGAATTTAAATTTATGTAAACCCTTACAATTGATGTAGAACTAATTTTATGTTGTCCGGCTATAAAAATATTAGTAATGTAGACCATGGACTTATAAAGGGGAAATAAGTATACTTTAGAATGTGAAGTCACTCAGCTATTTCTGTTGTGCTGGAAATCCCAGAGGACACTGGTAGTACTTTGCTACTCTAACCCCGATTTTTAAGCAGTGAATGGAACCTATTCTTCAAAATACCACATTGTATGCTATCAACATATGTAATTATTATGTATCAATTAAAAATAAAATTTCTTAAAAAAAAAAAAAAAAGCACCTGTCCAGAACATCTCTGTGAAATGCTGAGGAGTGAGGAGCTGCTCCCAGGGAAGCGGGTGTGAGCGCTTTCTGCATTCTGCTGTGGAATCCCCAGCTCACCTTACCGACCCCAGTTGGAGAATTGGCTTCTTCTCCTCGGTATGGACATGGGGGCTTTAACACATTTTCATCTCAGTTTATAAGAGAAAACAAAAATAACCCATCATCCTTAAATTTCAAAATGCTGCTAGTTATCAAAGTAATAGCTTTTATTTTGTAGCAATGTAATTTCTTCACAAGTTTAACCAGTATTTTATATCTTCTGTAAGCAAGGCTATTTTAAAACGTGATGGTAAGAAGAAACAAACATTTCAAATTATATGTTAATTACAGTAAGGCAAAGCATTTAAAATAGGAAAGGTACATTTGACTTAAAAATTTAAAGAAATTTAAAGTACTAATTTTTAAGCTGGTAACATCATTTTGGTAATTTCTTTGTGTATACTGGTAAAATGATGAATAACACCCTTCTAAAATGGAAATATGCAGTATGCTCAAAACTATGGTTGTTTATATATTTTTCTTATTGTCATCAATCCTCTCAAAATACCCCCTTGCTTCAATTGCACTTGCCCTGTGCTCTCATGGCTGCCTTAACGTCCTGAACGGATTCAAAACAATTAACTTTCATGGTCATTCTGACTTTGGGGAAGAGCCAGAAATCACACGGTGCCAGACCCAGGGAATAAGGTGGATGAGGACGTACTGCAAGGTCTTTACTTGACAGGAATTGCTTTTAAAGTTAATTATATATACAGATTAAAAACCAGACTGATAGGCCGAATAACATATAAACCATATTAGACAAATAACTAAGTTAAGATACATTTTAAGATACATGGTCTGCACTTGAAAGTTTTGTCTTTTTATTTTTGTTCTGTCTCCTTATTTCATACTTTGTTTTTCATATAAAAGAAACCAGTAATATTTAAAATTCTATGAGCTATTTCCCTTCACATTATAGTTTCAAGGTGCATCCATTTTCCTACAAATAACTCATTTATCCTTTATAAGAGAGTAGTACTCCATTGTGTATAAACACCACAATTCTTTTATCTATTCATGTGTTAATGGACATGTAGCCTATTTCCAAGATGTAGCTATTCTGAATTGTGCTGCTATAAAGATGGGTATACATACACTGCTGTGGCATGAGGTCCTTGGGGAATATACCTAGGAGGGCAATCGCTGGGTCAAAAAGAAGTTTTGTTTTCAGTTTTTGGAGGAATCACGATAGTGATCCATAGTGGTTGTAGCACAACGTTTCTTAATTGCTCTCATAAGTCCTTATGATATTTACTGTACTATTCCTAGGTACAAACGCAGTTCACAAAACTCCATGAAGTTCAAAAAACAATATCACCTTGATGTTGGAGCTTAATTGACATACTTTTTAAAAAAAAACACAAGGAAAATTGAGTGATTTCCATTAGTACTTTGAATCTTGGCCTTAGGCTCATAACCATAGACCCACAATTCATCTCCTGTGATATTTCTTTTTTTTTTTTTCCTGTGATATTTCTTATTAAGCTGGAAACTGAAGTGACTGCAATGAAACTGAGGAATGTGCTTGCTTTTGTTCACCAGTCAAAATGTTTGGAACAAATTTTGTATTTACTCGTGATAGAGCCAGGGCAAGTCCAGAAGATACAAGTAAATTACATGAGGACGTTGCCCAAATACCTTATGGCTCCTACACCTGCTATATTGTCTTCATTTCCCAACATACACCTGTGACATTGAGTATACCATATAATCAGCTGTCATATGGCACTGTCAGCTATACAGGCCCTGCCTGCAAGTGGACAGCTACAGCATTACTGTCCCTTTCTGGGATGTCAATAAAAGACAGCAGTTAAAAAACAAAAAAAAAATCACAGTGGAGTAAACTTAAGACAATACTCATGATAATACATTTTGCCTTTAAAAATTGGTCAGATATACAACTACATACTGACTCAAGGGCTGTAACCAATAGTCTGGCCAGATGGTCAGGAACTTGGAAGGAGCATGATTAGAAAATTTGTGACGAAGAGGTATATGGATAGACCTTTCCATATGGGCATAGGATGTAAAAATATTTGTTTCCCATATAAACGCTCACCAAAAGGTGGTATCAGCAGAAGAGGACTTTAATAATCATATGGATAAGATGAGCCAATCTGTGGATAGTGGTCAGCCTCCTTTTTCAGCCATCTCTGTCATTTCCCAGTGGGCCCATGAATAGAGCGGCCATGGTGGCAAGGATCTATGCATGGGCTCAGCAACATGGACTCCCACTCACCAAGACTGATCTGGCTACAGCCACTGCTTCATGTCCAATATGCCAACAACAGAATCCAAGACTGAGTCAGCAACATGGCATCATTCCGCAGGGTGATCAAGCTGCAACCTGGTAGCAGGTTGATTATATTGGACCACTTCCATCATGGAAGGAACAGCTCTTTGTCCTCACTGGCATAAGCACATATTTTAGATACAGAATTGGCTTCACTGAATGTAATGCTTCTGCCAAAACTCCCATCCATGGACTTACAGAATGCTTTATTCACCATAATAAAATTCCACACAGCATTGCTTCTGACCAAGGAACACATTTTACAGCTAAAAAAGTAAAATAGTGGGCTCATGTTGATAGAATTTACTGGTCTTATCATGTTCCTTACCATCCAGAAGCAACTAGATTGATAAAAAGGTAGCATGGTCTTTTAAAGACAGTTAAGAGAGTTAGTTAGGTGATAGTAGTTTACAGGGCTGACATAAGGTACTTCAAAAGGCTGTATGTGCTCTGAATAAGTGTCCGCTGTCTGGTACTGTGTCTCCCATAGCCAGGATTCATGGGTCCAGGAATCAAGGGGTGGGAGTAAGAATGGTACCATTCACCATTACCCCTAATGATCCACTAGCAAAATTTTTGTTTCGTGTCCCCACAGTCTTACGTTCTGCTAGACTAAAAGTCCTAGTTTAAAAAAAAAGGGGCTTATACCAAGAAGCACAACAATGATACCATTAAACTGAAAGTTAAGATTTTTCCCTGGTCACTTTGGTTTACTCATGCCTCTGAGGGAACAAGCTAAAAAGGGAGTCACAATGTTGTCAGGGTAATTGACCCAGATTATCAAAGAAAAAAATTTATATATATATATGAATACAAACAATCCCTTAGAGTACCTCTTAATATTACCATGCCCTGTTGTTAAAGTTATTATGGTCCAGCGTCTTCAAAAATAAAAATATAGGTAACACCACCACCAAAAAGAAAAAAAAAGACCTGCTGAGGTGCTTGCTAAAGGCCAAAAAATATGAAAAAAGACAGTAAAAAAAGATAGTTCTAAATACCAGATACAACCCAGTGATCAACTACAAAAAATGATTATAATTATGCTAATTCACCCCATATGATTGTTATAATATTGATAGATTTACTAACAGTTCTTAAAGATTATTAAACATGTTAATGTTAAAGTTATAAAATGATTAAGCATAAGCATAAAAAACTTAACCTATTTTGATAAGAAAATTAATGCACTTCCATTTGTAAACAAGGTAGTTATAACATGTTAGGCCCACATATATATATGTATTTTAGTATCTGCAAACTGGTTTAAAATATATGGCTAGTTGCTGAGTTGAGAAGGGGTGGATTGTAGTGGTTAATACATTGTGTCATTTTAAGAAGTCAAAAGCTTAACTAAATCCCAACAATTCCACACCCTGGGGCATGGAGGCCCCTCCTTAGGGTGTGGAGGCCCCACCCTAGAGTGACTTATCACTTAACAGATATAAAAGGAGAAAGGATGGACTGTTTTACTTCCTCTGAGGAACAGCTTAGACTGTCCTGGCTTGTAGCACAGACTCTTTGACCTCTGCCTTAGATCCTTCAGCCTTCTAGTATAGACTCATCAGCCTTCAACAGCAGAACTATCGGCCTCCTGATACAGACATACACAAAACCCTACAGTGACCTCCAAAGCTTAGACTAAATCCTTCAGTCTCCAGTGTGCAGACACCCTATACATGCCTCCTCCTCTGACCCTGGCTGACCATCATAAGCCAATCTTATAATTTCTTGAACATTTATACATCTTGTGTTATATATGTTCCTTGTATTACATCTAGCTGGGGATATAGCTCAGTGGTGGAAGTGCCTGCCTGGCAAGTGCAAGGGCCTGAGTTCAATCCTTGGTACCGCCAAAAAAAAAAAAAAAACCCAAAACAAAAAAAAAACATCCTTGTATTATATCTGTTCCTCTAGTAAACACCTAAAACATCCAAATTGTCCTCTTAAGACTCAAGATAAACTCTTAGGTGTAAAAATAAAATAGTTACCTAGTCCCAAATTTCAACAGCACAAGGTATAACAATTCTATTCCAAAAGGTAGAAATGGAAATCCCAATGAAAAAAATGGAAGAGCATTCTTCACAGAATGAGAGAAAAATACCCCAAATTCATATGGAGTCAGAAGAGACCAAGAATAGCAAAATCAAACCTGGGTAACAAGGAAAGTAGGAGACATCCCAACTGCAGATTTCAAATTATATTACAAAGCAACAGTGATAAGAACAGCATGGTAGCTGGGTATGGTGGCACATGCTATAATCCCAGCACACAGGAGATAGGAGGATCTCTATGAGTTCACGTTCAACTTGGATTACATAGTGAATTCAACGCCAATCTGAACTATAAAGCAAGATCCTGTCTCAACAAAACAAAAGCAAAACCAAAAATCTAGAATGATAACTGGCACAAAAACAAACATGTAGATCAATGGAACAGAATAGAAGAAATATAGATTGTTTAGTAAATGGTGGTGGGAAATCTTCCACATGCAGAAGATTGAATGTAGACCCATATATCTCACAAGTATTAAAGTAAAATCAACATGGAACAAAAAATCTGAATGTTAAAACAGAAAGATTTAATCTTCTGGATTATAAAAT